GAAGTATGGTTGGTTCTCATTTTGTTTAGGATGGTGGGAGAATCCCCTAAAGGCATTCCAGTCTTTTGGGACTTCATGACAACTGTGTCAAGACCACGGATAAAGCTTTACTGCAACCAAACAACATATTTAGATCTAAGTTCACTGGAACTCCAAAACAAAAACAACAAAAAAACCAGAACAAGGCTTAGTGTATGTAAGGCTTTGAGGGAGCCACCCTAGAACATTCTTTTTCAAATTCTAAAGCTGTACACTAAGAAAAATATTACAATCTTAATTCCTCTTGACTCTGCAGACCGGGCTCCTTGGACAGCCTAATACAAATACTTGGCACTCACTCCCCAATCCTGTTATGTCAGGCTCTACCTCAGAACTCACCACCAGCTTTCCTAAGGATAGAGAAAGGTTGGCTATGGCTCACTGCAACCCAGTGTCAAAGGACCACAGGTCTTGCTGCCTGGCACTTGACAGCTCTGTCTTATCGTATTTGAAAACCTAGGAGCGGTCTGAAAAGGATGCTTGCACTGTACTAGATAAAGAACCGGCTGTCAGGACTGGCCTTCCCTTTGCTGTCAAGGTCTCTGGGTTTCATCTGATTACTCAGGGCTTCAGTTTCTTCAGTGAAAAAGGGTTACAGATTTCTTTGGTCCTTTTCTAGTTCTAAAATCTGATGATTCAAAAACTCAAGGGTAGACTGCTAGCAGGAACAACCAGCACTTCCTCTTTGTTACAGAGAGATAAAGATGTGTTGGGTTGAACATGGAAAACAAGACAAAAACCTAAAAAAATCTATCCAAGATCTTGCTAACCTAATCTCCAGCCCAAAGCAATCGACTTACATCATGAACTTCTTCCACTGAAATGTAAGCTTCGGTAGGAAGTCCCAGGTCCTTTGGCTTCACGTCAATAATGACCAACACCTGGCAGAAAAAAAACCCCACAGCTTAGCAAACTTCCCTCCTGACAGAGTACAACTTCAGCCTTTCTTCTGGTTACTCAGACCATTCCCTTTTTTCAAATCGAAACAAGCCAGAATGTTCAGAAAAAGATAAGTTGTATTTCACATGATCCATCAAGTCATAAGAGTCCAAATTATAACCTCTGCCCCACTCCCTACCAGATCTTACTAACCTTTTCTTAAAATTTACATTTAAAAATTACATTTCTTTTCGGGGGGTGGGGGTGGGGTATGACACCAATTGTGGGCCCTGGGAGAAAGAACTTGTCAGGTTTGGCGACAAGGGCCTTTACTCACCAAGCCACCTTGTTGGCACCACTAACCATTCTTAACTTGAATTTTCTCGTTTATAAAGCCAACATATAGTTACTGAGAGGATTAGGGCAGTTATATTCACGGCACCCAGCAGATGCTGTTGCTTGCTAAATATACTGGGTTACAACAAATGACTCAGAACTACACTTTACTACAAAGCTTATGGAGAAGCAGCAACAGAATGTTTGCTACCCAGGTCCTTCTAATGATGCCCTTGAGTAGCATGGGAGAGTTCTGAGAACAGTGAGTGTACTTACAGAGTTGGGACAGTATCTTTTCATGAGTTCATTGATGGCGATATCATTCTTGTGCAGTTTGGGGCCTGTGTGGTACCACCCAACTATTCTTTCTCTGGCTGAGAAGCAAAAACTTAGTAAGTTTTAATTATTTCACCAGATCTGTGCAACTGGCTCACAATAATATTAACACCAATACTTAAGTTTTCTACCTTTTTGAGAATTCCAGACAAAAATAAACCTTGACACATTGTGAAATCTAAAACTCAAAAACAGAATTCTAATAAAATAAGCAGTGTGTGATACAAATACATTTGTATCCCAGACTTGCACAGGGACTAGATATCAGTTACAGAACAATATATGAACAGATCAGATGGCAGTTGTGTGGTGGGGTTGAGTATATCCAGAGCCATAGTTACTGTATTGAAATAGCACGAAACAATACACTTTGCTAGCACTAAAGTTCTAGGGGCATGCAAACCAAGGTACAGCCCTGCTTCAGGCCAGATGGTCTACAAGGCCTTAAACTACTACTGTATTTTGTTTATCCTACCTCATTTCTTTATTACCTACCATTAGTCTATTTTCACTTAGTCCAGCTAAGTGAACCGATCCTTGACAACAAAGACATCAGGTTTAGACACACACACATGTAGAAACTCAGACTTACCATTGACTTTCTTAAACATTCCATACATGTTTTCCAAATAATCATGGTCTAAAAACCAGACAGAATCATCTTTGTCATCTTCATCAAATGGTACTAAAGAGAGAGGGGGGGGAAAAATAAAGACTTATCCTAGGGGCTAGAAGCTCAGTCCCAGTGCCCTCGGCTGCGTCTGCTTCACCCCCATTCAAGACCTCCACATTCCCAGCCTCTCTTAAAGTGCTAAAGACTTAGCCAACCCTGGGAAGAGCTTTTAAAAAGGACACACACTCTCTGGCTTGCTAAAAGCCCAGTTCTTTCTGACATTTCCCACTCGGCCATTTATAGACAATACCCACTGTCCTTTTATAGACCACAAATCCTGCCAGCAATACATGGAACCTAAGTGTAACATGGTGAAGATTGATGAAGGAGTGAAAAGACACCCTGACCCGATCCCCAAATCTTTCTCCTTGCTCTACCACAGCCACTGTTCAAATGTTTAGTGTTGGAGCCAACAAGCTATCCCAAAGGCTTGTTCTGAGATGCAGCCACACTTCTACGTTTATACGATCTATAGCAGCTCTTGCACTCCAAGAGATGAGCAGCTACAATGGAGACTGCAAGTTAAATATTCATTCTCTGGTCTAGTGTATAGCCATTAGGCTCAATGAGCAATGCTGAAATAGGATCTTCAGACTGTAGTAAAAATGTTCATTTCCCATACATAAACCCGTATTCTAACCATGCTCAGCAAAATCAAAAGCTTATTTATCCTTTACCTGCAAAACTGTTGGATACATCAAGTACTTTCTTTTGCCATGACCCCAAAAGCACACCAACAACCCGCTTCTGGTTTCCAACCTTGCCAATTCTGAATGAGAAAAACAGGTGATCAGTCTTTACAGGCATACAGACACTCAGCCCCAACAGTTAGCTACTCAGTGGCAAGTATCAACAGCACAGATACAATTTAGTTTATGTGGGAACTAAGTCCATAAACAAATGTAACAGGATAAAGAAACTATCCTAACACACACTGGAAGGTTACTTCCCAAAGACCGCAGACACCTGCTTGGAAAAAATTCATGCTTTTTTTTTTCTTTCCCATTATTCCTTTGTCCTTTACACTTTGCCTTCTCGACAATAAATCTCTTGGGGAAAGACACTAGAGTTGCACCAATTTTATGGCACAGCCAATTCTTCTCTAGAACCCCTGTACCATGTCAACCAGCTTCAGAAGTACTTCATCCTCTAGGGGCTAGGGCTAGGGGCCCAGGACAGATTCCCATTCAGAAGCACCAGTGTGCCATTTTGCAGCCTCTCTCACGGGCTTATTAAGTAGAAGCTAGTTACTAAGCACATAAGGAGAAAGGCTGAATGAGTGAGAAGGCTTTTGCTTCATGTCAATCTCCATCCATCTCAAACCTTCTGTGTGGTTTTCTGCTAAGGAGGTACAAGCATATTGATCTACAAATATTTGATTTTAACCACTAGCAAACTGTACATTTGGAAATAATTTAATTCTCTGTTAAGAAAACATACAAGCCACAGTACCTCTTCACCAGTCCTAAGAGTTTCACATTAGTTTAACTGTAGTGTTTTGCTTAACATAGAGCCTGGCAAATCAATACTAACTTTGGGGTATTGGTAGAATGAAATTAAGGGTTCCGTATTCCTGGTGCACCCTTGCCCGATCCACTGAAAATACTTCCAACAATGAGTTTCCACGTGTATGGAAACTTCACCCACGGGCCTTTTAGTTTACAAAAGTCCATTTGTGTCTTGTAGAGTTCTCCATCTGTTCCATGACACAGCCACCAGCAGTGTCTGCCCTTACTTGGTTCTTAACAAATGTTGGAATAAAACTAAAGCAGTGCTCAATCATTGGGGACCCTCGTATCCTAATGGGGTAAAACTGTTATCTGCTGTAGAAAGGCCACAGATCTGGTAAATACTGAGGCACCTAACGAGCAATACAACTGAACCCAGAATCAAAACCCTCCGTCTCGAGGGTGTTTTTGGATCTGATTTGAGTTATCTGAACAAAGGCTGGTTTGGGACAGGCACTAGCAGGACTTTACAGCAAGCACAGGCTCCCTACTGGGATTTCCCCATTTGTTAATCCAACTAATTGTCTTGTAAAACTTCCAAACGTGCAACAGGTCTGGCAGGATGAACGGCTAGAGCAGGGTGGTGGTGGCAGACAGCTTACTAGGTGTACTGTAAGGTGGCCCCAATCTGTACCCGGCACCTTATCCACATTTTTAAGGTACCATCCAACCAGAATCCCGCTTAAAACTTGGTGGTTACAACCAGTGCCCATCTATAGAGTCGTTCATCGGGGACGCCGAGACCAGAATTTCGGTGACAGCTTTCACAGGCACGGACGCGAGAGACCGAAGCGCTGTCCTACGACACCAAGACGCTCTGGTGAAAGGCGCGGCTGAGGCGAGTAGCATGCTCGGTCCAGATTCCGGTCATTCAACAGGCGGACCAGGCCTGGGAGTGGGGGCCGCGGCGGGGGTGCGAGGCTGTCAATGCGCTCGGAGCACCGCCGTGTGGAGCCCGCCAGGGTCGACCGCCCCCCACCCGCCGCCTTATGCCCGGAGCGCCCGTGACTCAGCAGCCCTGCGCCGTGTGGCCGCCACGCGCCGCCCGCTCACCGGTTGAAGTGATCCACCACACTGAGCAGCACCAGGGGGTGGACCACCACCTTCTGCACCGCCAGCTCCGGCATTGCGACACAGCCCGCCCGCCGGCCCGGCTCCCTGCGACCCACAAACACCGGCAACAGCAGCAACACAGGCCGTTCCTCCAGGCCCCAGCGCCTCCTCTTCCGGTTTGACTACCGCCGTAGAGTCGACTTCCGCTCCCGGAGTGCTTAGCGCGCGTGCCCTCACTGTCGCCAGGGCCGCCATCTTGAGAAAGGGCCGACTGTCGGACTTCGGCTATTGATGAAGCTTGACTTTTGTCTCCGCTAGCTTTTTGCCTCACTTGCTTCCCAGCTCATCATTCCTCCCGCTCTGAAAAACTGTAGAAGAAAACCCAGAAAAACAAATAGTAACAGATTATACTTTTACTCACTCAAGTACTTAACATCTATTTAACTTTCATTTAAAGACAGCACTATTTTAAGATTTTGCAGAGCAATTTCATTTTTTTTTTTTATGTTTTATTTCACTAGTTTTGAAACTGGGCCTTATGTAACACAGACTGACATGGAAGTCGCTGCATAGCCCAGGATGATCGTGATTCCCTTATCTCCACCTCGTGAGTGCCACCCCACACCTGGCTTAGAGGAGCTTTCAGTCTCTAACACCAAGAGCACACTTTGCATGTAGAATTGGGTAATTTATCTCATTATTTTTGTTGTTGTTGTTTCTGAGACAGGGTTTCTCTGTGTAACAGCTCCTCTGGCTATCCTGGAACTCTCTTTGTAGACCAGGATGGCCTTGAACTCACAGAGATCCACTTGCCTCTGCCTACCAACACCTGGGATTAAAAACGTGGGCCACCACTGTCTGGCATTATCTCATCATTTTTATTGCTGGGAATTTTCTTTAATGTCCACTTGAATATGATGAATACAGTGACATTTAGGTTTTGTTAGTCCCAAAGATTTGAGGAGAAAGACCACTTACCCAAATCATCATAGCCAAACTAGTTAAAGCAAGCAATTAATCAAAGCATCCTTTTTTATTTGTGTACACGACGTCCTTTTTCTCCCTACAGGTGGAGTTCAAGAAGTCAGCATTGGACATGGTTATTATAGCTCAGGGGTAGGGGGGTTTCCAAATAGGGGACTTGGTGGGCAAAATAGGTGGAGTTACAGGAGCATAACATAAGCACAGGTAGGTTATAATGACCCTCTGAAACAAAGACATGATTGCAAATTGATCTTTAAAAGGTAGGCATACCCTATGGAAGGCCTCACCATCCAGGGGGAGCAGAAAGGATATGTGATAGGTAGGGTTTTAGTTGGGGGGTGGTGGTGGTAGGGGAGGACGGGAGGGAGAAGGGAACTGGGATTGTCATGTAAAACAATCTTGTTTCTAGTTCAAATAAAAAAAATCTGCAAAAAGGTAGTCATAACAACAGGTATTCATAACAAGGTAGCAATAACCTTTTGAAACAAAGATTGAGTTGCATGATGGTTTTGAAACAAAGACATGGTTTTCATTTCCTGGAACAGGCAGTGCAGAACCATTTGTAGTTAAGGTTACAGGTGGGGCATACCCCAACCCTTGAGAAACAGAGGATTAATCATAAACAGGAATGAGCCTAGTTTGTCTTTACTATAAGATGGAGACAGGCTGGTTCATCAGTTTCTCCCTGTCTTTAAGTTACTTACTGTGTAACCAAAGCTAGATGAAAGGCATTTGTGCCAGTTTTAAGTGTTTAAACTTAAGGGTTGAAGAAAAGAAAGAATATTTTGATACTAAGTAGGAAAGAGAAAAAGGAAGCCTACAATAGAAATTAATGGGAGAAAGATCTCAGTTTGATTATAGAGGCAAAGTACATTAAAATTCACTCATCTTTATATTTCATCTCATTTTAAAAATGCTGTTTGTCAACATTATTATTGAATGGGTATGGGGTGTGTGTGTGTGTGTGTGTGTGTGTGTGTGTGTGTGTGTGTGTGTGTGTGTATGCCTCTGTGTACCATGTATATGCAGGTGCTCACAGAGGCCAGAAGAGTGTGTTGGATCCCTTGGAACTGGAGTTGTATGTGGTTGTGAGTCACGATAGGTTCCAAGAACTGAACTCAGGTCCTCTGGAAGAGCAGTGAATGCTCTTAACCTCTGAGCCACCTCTTCAGCAATGTGTGAAAGATGCTTCACTGTCTCTGCCATCATTGCTTTCCACTGAATCCCCCTTCTGTCTCATGTTTATTATTTGGGGTGTCAAGGTCTCCCTTAAAATACACAAAACTAGCCAAGTGAAGTGATGCACATCTTTAATCCCAGTACATGGGAGGCAGAGACAAGCGGATCTTTGAGTTCACTAGCCTAGTCTACAGAGCAAGTTCCAGGACATTTGGGGTTACACAGAGAACCCCTATCTTGGAAAACCAAAACCAAAACAAACCAAACCAAAAAAATACAAAGCTTTTTATGGTAGTATAGGGCTGTAATTTTCTTTAATCATGTGACAACTGCCGGTGTTTATTGTATACAATCCCTTAGGAAAGGGAACCGACTTTTTCAGAGCTGTTCTGGGAAACGTTATCATACATTTTGGATTAAAATTTTGCTAGCTCATAGCTATTACTTAATTATTGTTTTTGAAAATGTTAATGTAGCCAGGTGTGATGTCACATACCTTTGATCCAGTAGAGACAGGGCTGTATTCCAGGCCAGTCTGATCTACACAACAAGTTTCAGGCTAGCCAGGGCTAGTGAGATTCTGTCTAAAATCTGCTAATGTAGAGCTGGAGATGAAAGTAGCAGAGTGTTTGCCTACAATGCCCAAATCCCTGGGTTTAATCCCTAATACCCTCAAACGAAAATGTTAATATGTTTATCAAAACAATATTAAATTTCTGTTTTGTTTTGTTTTTCTTTATTTTTGAGGGTCTGTGTAGTCCTGGCTAATCTGAAACTTATGTAGACTAAACTTGCCTCTGCTGGGATTACAGGTGTGAGCTAGCATGCCCTCAAAATAAGGTTGAAGACTACATTACTTCTGGTCATGCAGATTTGTTGTTAGAACTGCAAGTGGTACAGAGAGATAAAACAGAGTAAAGATTTCCCATTGTCTTACAATGGGATGTGACCAATGCTCTGGAGGAAATATTTGAAAGTTTTGAAGAATTCTGATTTCAGAATCAGATAGTGGCCATCACATGTCTGTGTCTCAGGGCTGTTGGACTTGACAGTACCTCTCACTTTAACTTTTCATCCCTGACTTGTGAGTGGGAGGAAGAATGAATGCCTTATGTGTTTTGTGGTCAAGTCCCTTAATTTCTGAGGAAGGTTGTGTTTGTATCTCTGAAGAAGTGGTGTGCTTGTGCTCAGAACCTCCTTTCACTGTGTCCTTTCTGAGTCCCTCCAGTCACCTTTCACTACATGTTTTTCTTACTTTGGAGAATCTTGCTTTGGGTTTTCTTCATTTCTTTTCATTTTTACATTTATTAATATGTGAGGGGGGCATTCATGCCAGTGTGTCTCTCTCCTCTCTCTCTCTCTGTTTGTGTGTGTGTGTTTGGGGGTCAGAGGACAACTTGCAGGGCTTGATTTTCTCCTTCCACCATGTGATTCCTGAGGATCAGAACCAGGTCCTCAGGCTTGTCGGCAAGCACCTTTACCCATTGAGCCATCTTGCTTCCCCCCCCATTAATATTTTTATTTAACATGAATCAGATGACCTCTACTACTTCCTAAGATCACTGGACATTTAGATTAAGAAAATTTGGAGCTGGGAAGATGCCTCTGTCAGTAAAGTGCCTGTCATGTACACATGAGGACCTGAGATTGAATTCTCAGCACATGTGTGGAAAGTTGAGTGTGTTCTTATTGTCTGTAACTTCAGAATGGAGGACTGGAGAAGGCAGATCCCTGGAGTTAGACTAGCCAAAGAGGAAGACAGTTGGCATATACCTCTGGCTCCCATACATGCAAACACACACACACACACACACACACACACACACACACACATACACACACACACATTTTTTTTTTTGAGACAGGGTTTCTCTGTGTAGCCCTGGCTGTCCTGGAACTCACTCTGTAGACCAGGCTGGCCTCGAACTCACAGAGATCCACCTGCCTCTGCCTCTGCCTCTGCCTCCTGAGTGCTGGGATTAAAGGTGTGCACCACCATTGCCTGACAATTTTTTTTTTTAAAGAAAGAACAATCCCTAAAGATATGGTCTTACTGTGTAGCCCTGATAGTCTTGGAACTTGCTATGTAGACCAAGATAACCTCAAAACTCAAAACTCACAATATGTTAAAGCATGTTTGTTGGTGTGCAGTGCCTGATTTGGAATGGACTTCTTCATGACTAACACAATGCTATTCAGCACAGGAGAGATGTGTCTGGTATAGAAAGAGCTTGGGCAGATTTCCTCTCTAATTTTGTCCTTAGAGATTTAGTGACTATTGAGTGATCAAAGGCTGATTTAATTTTCCTTATGTGTCAAATAAAGCTTAAGATAAGAGTCCAAAGGAAACATCTTTTTGATGAATACATAAACAGATATAAAGAAGACAGCTAGAAATAATAAGTAAGGCACCTTTTCCATGTTGCACCCTGATTTTTAAAATATGGAAATGACTTTAAATAATCCCTGACACCAGAGCCCCTCCCGGTGGCTGAATTCTTTCAGAGCAATGCAGAAGAGGTGGGTGGCTGTCTTTTGTTCATCAGATTCTGGACTTAACTTTTGGGGGACCTGATGAGATTTTAAGGATAATCTGGTTTTCTCTCCTTTGATCATTTTTGTCTTTAGTTTAGGGAGTTAGTCTTCCTGACCCAGGATCTTGAAAGAGTTCTCATTTTTGTTAAATCCAGGAAAGGAACAATGGTCCTGTGAATATTCTAGCAATATCTGGAGATTTGTGACCTCTAGTTTTCGTCTTATTGAGTTTAGAAGGAAGAAGGCAGAGAAGGAGAGGGGGAGGAAGCAGAGGAGGGGAGGACAATGATGCTGTCAACAAGAGACTTACCTCTAGTCCAAGTCTGTGTCCATTGCTGGGTTTCAGAGACAACCATCCTTGGAAATACCTGGTAATTTAGGGTCATATTTAGGCACAAGACCCAGGATGGACTCACCTTAAAGAGGTAGATTGATTTGGTCCAGACATACAGACTCAGACTTTGGAGAGAAAATGGCACCTATTGAGATAGTAGGCATCTGAGCCCGGATGTGGCTCCTCAGCTCAGCTCCTCATGAATTAGGTCTGAGTCCAGAGTGGCAGGTCGCTAAGGCATCCTAGAAAACAGAACATATTGAGAGATACCCAGACACAGGGATAGGCACTGCTCGCAATATTTCTTAACAAATCATAACTCAGAAAGTGAGGACAAAGCATCTTCCTCACTTAAGAAGTTTGGCTCCTCAAGTCAGCAGTATTGCAGCAGGAGACTGATTGCTGGTGTCAGGCAATACCAGCAGCCTGTGGGATGTAGAGACATGCAAAGACCGGGGCCAGACCAGGTAAAGTTAATGCCAAGGACATCACAGAGAAATGCTTGAGCTTGTGTACATGTGCAAGTCCTTTGGAGTTCTAGGAGTATCTGAAGTTGGAGAAGCATGGCAAAATAACAGGGTATTATTTAGTCATTACTATGACAAAGTAGTTGACAAAAGCAATTCAAAGAAGGAAGGTATGGGGGCTGGAGAGATGACTCAATGGTCAAGAGCATTGGCTGTTCTTCCAGAGGTCCTGAGTTCAATTCCCAGTACCTGCTTGGTGGTTCACAATTGTCCTTAACTCCAGTCCAAGGGAATCCAATGACCTCTTTTGGCCTCCCTGGGCACCAGACATGGACATCCAGGCAAACAAAACACCTAAATATATACTAAATAAATAAATACCTTAATAAAAGAAGGTATGATAGTTACATTTAATTCTCAGATTGATGCATCACAGAATCACGCGGGAAGGGCCTCTAATAAGGGGTGGTCTAGAGCGGGTTGGTCTGTGGGAAATTATCCCTTTTATATTACCTGAGGCGGGA